ATAAGCCGGAACATGAATCGATCACATCACCTGCTTGCTCCTAGACGATCATCGGGGGAAGGGGAAAAGGGATATTTAAGCGCCTGCAAAAACGGTGTAAAGTGAGAAATGTTTTACTTTCTTTACACAGCGCATTTTTTCCGCGGAATCAAAAGTTTCCTCAGAACATCAGGGTTGTATTTTGTCATTCGTTCGAGTTCGGATCGTGGCAATGTTCCCTGGGTGAACATACTTTTGTTTAACTCCAGTCTAGACGTGGCCCTGCGTCCTATGCACTGCAGGCGCTTAAATAACACGGAGCCGAAACTTGTTTAAACGGCGCCAAACCTGCGTATAAACAAGGAGAAGGGGACGGAGCAGCAGAGCTGCTGGTATAAAGTGAGAAATACATTCTTCTTTCATTACACTATACATTTTCGCCGTGATTTTAATGTGATATACTCAGCGGCAGTAGGGAACCCTTCCCCTCCGGGGCACCCCAGGACACTGGGGTTAAATTCTGTGAATTTGCTATAATACTGATATAACTGTTTCCAGGCGTCGAAAGTAACCATTGTTTGTGAATCTCAATATGAATCTGAGGGAATACGTGGCTAACGGAGTGATCGATTGCACTTACGGAGCTTAATAACTTAGTACATCGATTTGCTTGCCATCAACTGCATGAAACGCATTATCATCATGTCAATGCATACATTATGAAATATTATACGAGCAGATGGTTTCAAATCCTTCAAAGTTTTCGACTGAAAGGTGTTTACAACTCAAGATAAAAGGCTGATATTACAAAGTTTCTATTACGGTCACACAACAACGGCACTGATGGCTTTACATGTCTTGCGTTAATAAGTTGCGGCGGAGAAAAGGCAAACATCAGAAGTGATCAGAAAGCTTTCCAGACATAAATGTCGGTAACGGAATAGGAACAGGAACTTCAATAGAAAAATTATTTGTGCGAAAGACAGCTGCTCAAAACATAATGATCAGAAATTTGCCATTTTGTTCGTGCAGCGTGCAACTGAACTGGAAATGGCTGTAGTCTGTAGGCGCCTTATAATCCAGAATTTCATTTCCGGAAAATGTCTCTCTACCACTTTAAAATAAATAGCCCGAAACGTTAGAAATTTCTGTAATGAAATTTATGCGCGGAGCACTGCTGTACTAAATATGAACATCAAATACCGGAAACAGGCTCTATATGAGAAGGGTAAAATGATTCATCAAATGTTCTGCTAGTCACATCGCTACCTAGAGGGTCTGACGATTGAGTATTTCGTTCGTGCGCCCACAAAGAATATTGCATAAAAGGCTTATTCGTACACAACGCAAGCAAATTGGTTAATCGGCTGATTAACTAGTAAGGACTAGTTTCTCACGATCCCTTTCTAAGATGGACGGGTTGATTTCGGCAGATGCTACGACTTTGAAGTCAAAAGGTGTGCTTTCGGTCCAAACTACTGCTGCAGTAGTTTCTCGGCAACACGCTTGTCAAAAATGGCCAATCCGTGAAAAATTCGTATCCGTTATGCCGGCTGACATTTTCGCAAGACTGGATAATCAGTCGATCCTTGATTCGTCCGTTTAGCCAATTTGTTTCTCGAATGACGCCCGTGCAATCTGAACAGGGTGAAAGATGTGACCTTAACCTGTTGCGGGTTGTACAATTCCCTGACTTTTTTCTGCACTGTTTATTTTTACGTGATTACGAGCGAGGGTTTGATTTCTTTCCGGGACGCTTTGTTATGTAGAAAGTCAGTCGAATTCAGATCGTTGAATCACAGGTCGATAATCGGCGGTCATTCGTTTACCGTGCCGTCAAAACCCAACGTAATCACAACCAACGAACGTCCGAGTCGACACTTACAAAGTGCTTGATAGATGCTGCTCGCAGTCAACGCTGGTCCTTCGGAACAGCTTGCTTTAAGACGCTGTCGTTTCTTAGTCGGCTGACCGCCATTTTCAGAATCTAGTACATGACGTCGCTTGTTAACATTACCATTACTCGCAACGGTGGGTGGGCCTGCTTTATGCAACTCCTCGTTCACTCAGTAGACATTTCTTAAAAAACCTTGGATTAGGGCACCATAGTTGATCACGTATATTTTTCCGATTATGATTAGGACACCTAAACGTGTACAATTATCGTAAGTTTCTAATCGACAACAGGTAAGGGGGCGGCACGATACTACTGTAAGACTTACACCTACCGTAAACTACCGCGTGTTAAGTGTCGGCGTAAAGTAAGAAGTACATTTCTCTTCTTAACGTTGTACATTTTCGCTGTTTCGATCCGATATCATTATTGTCAATGCCATTTATGCAACAGCAGTCTCGAAAGCTACCCCAGAACATCGGGGATATTTTACTTCTATTTTCTATCTAATTCCTACTCAACAGTAGACATGTTTCGCCACGAATACCAGCAACTTCATCAGCACTGAATGTATACAGAAATTTCATGTCTCATGGCATTTTCAACATGGCAGTCTACGTGGCACGAATGAGGCTTTCCTTAATGCTACCCTTGGCTGCATTCAACGAACGACGAGTTCTTGGGAGTCGAAGGGAAGGGCGCCGTGTCGCAGCAGCCGTTTCGTGACGCTCAGCAGCAGGTTCAAAATTCAGGTCCAACTGGCCAACGGCATCCAGAGATTCACGCACAAAATCACCGATCGTACGAAGAGCTGCTTCGGTGGACGGGGCGTTTTTCAGGCGACCTTCGTCCATGTTCTTCAGCGACATCAAGTGGCTTTTGTAGAGTTTAATAAACGGCCCGTCTGAAGGCAGCATGCACACATCGTCGTGAACGGCGGTCGAAACCGACTTGTTCGTACGATGCTCCAAACGTCGCATATCGTGCTTGTCTCGTGGAGACGGGGACAGGGACATGGAGCCAACCGCGTCCGGCTGCTTGACAGCCGACGTACATTTCGAATCAAGGATACGCCGGACCGTATTTATGCTGATACTGTATGATTTGGCTATTCGCCACAGCGACCAAAGATTTGGATCACCCTCGTGCAAACATCTGACCTTGTCTCTGAACTCATCAGAACACTCGCTGAAAGGAATCAACTTCTTGGTCTTGCTCTTGTCCGGGATTTCATCTGCTTGTTCGCTGCCACTGACATCACAGTCTTCAACGTTGGCCACTGAAAAAGCACAACGAAAGGCTTTGAAGGGAAACGACGCGCTGGCTGGAAGTCGCCAGCAACGTGCCAGCAAAGGCATCGCTTCAATCATTGAACTTATCAAGGGTGACGTCCAATTACTCCTCTTCTTCTTACTTCTTCAAATTTAAATTCATCGCTTCCGTCATCAGGTGCAACGATCGCCACGAACATAAATGAAGTCAAAACGAGATGAGCAAATCCT